CCACTCATTTCGTCAGTAGGTTCGGACTCTTTGGTCGACTAAAGGGTGTCCACGATGAAATTGCCACACTATGATATTGCTCTAACTTTTTAACCGTTGGGTAGAATTTAATGAAAATTTGGGTAGATTTAGTTCATAGTGCATTATTTACATCCTGCAAGTTTTAAAGTCCTGTGATCAAAACTCGCGGAAATGGAGTCGAAAGAACAGCTCGTGCGTGATAAAATCTTGCGCATTCATCACGAGAACAAGGATCTCTCGCATCATTCCATCGTTAAAACGTTGGGAATCGCGAATTCCACGGTGTCGCGAGTGATTAAGCGGTTCGAGGAACGGTTGACCACCGATCGGAAGCCCAGAAGTGAAGGAAAAAGTATTCCGTACAACACCAAAAATCACAACCGCGTAGTTGGGGCCTTCAACCGAAATCCGAACGCCTCCGTTAGGGATGTGGCTAAGAAGCTGCACCTAAGCCGAAGTTTTGTCCAGAAGGCCAAAACTAAGGCTGGGCTTCGAACGTTCAAGGTACAAAAGGCCCCTAATCGCGACGAGAAGCAGAACAAGTCCGCCAAAACCCGTGCCAGGAAGTTGTACCTCAACATGCTGCATCATGGACGACGAAACATATGTGAAGGCTGACTTCAAACAGATCCCCGGCAACCTGTTTTTCACGGCCAAGGATAAGTTCAGCGTTCCGGAGCATGTCCGCACTCAGAAGATGTCCAAATTTGCGAAGAAATTCCTGGTTTGGCAAGCCATCTGCACGTGCGGGAAGCGGAGTGCACCTTTCGTGACCCAGGACACGATGAACGGACAGGTGTACATAAAAGAGTGCCTCCAGAAGCGGCTGCTTCCTCTCCTGAAGGCCCACAACGTCCCAACAATCTTCTGGCCGGATTTGGCCTCATGCCACTACTCCAAGGACGTGCTGAAGTGGTATGCGGACAATAAGGTCAATTTCGTGCCGAAAATGTTCAACCCTCCCAACACTCCGGAGCTCCGCCCCATCGAGAAGTACTGGGTGATTATGAAACAGCACCTTCTTAAACGACAGTCGAGGAACTGAAGAAAGTATGGGTTTACATGCAAAAAACGGTTGATTCACAGGTTGTGCAGAATCTTATGGCCGGGGTTAAGGCCAAGGTGCGGGCATTTGCGTATGAACTGTAAATAAAATACGAGTAAAATGGTAAAATGAAGTTTAATAGTTATTTCTCAATCCCTGAAAATTTGATGGCAATCGGATGAAAACTCGAATTTTGCGAATGAATTTTGTGTGTGGCAAATTCATCGTGGACACCCTTTACGACTGAGCTCCTACACTACTCTCGTCGAGTTTAAATCGCAAAATGATTTCATCGGTGAAAACGACGAATTTGGTATGCAAATTCAGGAGTTTAGCGACCGTTACTAAAGCGCGTCCCACATCAAATTGCATCACGGAAAAAACGTTGTGGAAAATTACCTAGTAGATCGATCATTTAGTAAACTTTTGGCATATTTATTTCATTTAATTTCAATACCATAAACGTACGCTCGCACCTTACGCTTAACTCCACTCATTAGGTTCTGTACAACATCTGGCTGCAGCGTCTTCTGTACGGAAACCCACTTTTTCTTCATGTCTTCCTCAGATTTGACCTTTTTGGGATGCTTCCGTAGTGCCTGCTTCATAATAGCCCAGTATTTTTTTCGATGGGCCTTAGTTCCGGTGCGTTGGGGGCATCCTTGGCTTCGTACCACTCCAGGACAACATTTGAATAGTGGCACGAAGCTAGATCCGGCCAGAAGATCGTAGGGCCCTCGTGTTGCTTCAACAGATGAAGCAGACGCTTCTGTAGACACTCCTTGAGGTAGATCTTACCGTTTACAATCCCGGTAGTCACAAACGGCGCACTCCGTTTGCCACATGAGCAGATCGCTGCTTCTTTACTTCCTCCGAAACATCAAACTTGTGCTGGGCAGAGAAGAACAGTAGCCCCGGAAGCTGCCGGAAGTCCGCTTTGACGTAAGTCTCATCATCCATGATGAGGCAATGAGGCTTCGTCAGCATCTGGGTGTACAGTTTCCGGGCCCGTGACTTTCCCACCGTATTTTGCCGTTCGTCACGATTTGGAGCCTTCTGCACTTTGTACGTATGCAGTCCCTCCCGGATCTTGACTCTTTGTACGAAAGACTTGGACAGATTCAACTTTTTGGACATATCCCTGACCGAAGCATTGGGATTCCGCATAAACGCTTTCACGACACGCTTTTGATCTTGATCACTAATAGAACATCCATTCTGACCGCATTTCTCCTTCTGTTCGATGCATAGAGTTTCGTAGTAACGTTTAATCACACGACTCACCGTTGACTGCAGGATTCCGAGTTGTTTTCCGATGTCCCTATGAGAAAGTTGAGGATTTTCCAGGTGCTTGCGCAAAATCAATACACTCTAAACTACTTCTACCCAAATTTGCAAGAGAAAATACCCAATGGGTAATTTTCTACAGCGTTTTTCCGTGATGCAATTTGATTCGGGACACCCTTTATCTAGTCAAATCCATATTGATGGATCAGGCTAGAGTCAGGAACCTTCATCGCTAAACCAATCCATCCGTGCTGCAATCTTTCAACGAGGCTATAGATGAGTGGTTGAGTTTCCGGGACTTATTCACTTCTGGATTCACTGGAAGATCGATCTACAAGAGGCGAAAAAGTTTCAAGTTGCATGGGCTATGCTGTTGAAACGGTACAACAACTGCAAGCAACTGAAGAAACGACAAATCCAAACCCTCCTCAAGTTACCCATCCTATTCAAGGAACCCGATAAGGAGTTCCATAGTCTACTTGAAGAGTTCGAAAAGATTGTGCGTTGAGCCAGATTGTACAACTGGTTAATCTGTTGACGCCTTCGTCTAGATTTTTCCGCTCGCCGGGGTTGGGAAAAGTTTTCTTCGACCCAGGAACAGGGCACCCTCGAATTTCTCCAACTATGAGTTCGCATTTTGGAATCCAAGACTGCAGATCCTAAGAAGTCATCTAACCATCCACAGCCACCAAGGCAAAGAAGCACTGCAGTCAGGACCTCAGCCTCAAAACCAAGGATGGATCGCTCTTTTGGGACTTTTTCATTACTTTTTTATTATAGCACGTTAAATACAATTAAATGTTTAGTTAACCCATCGTAAAATGGACAATTTAGTGATATTTATCTTCCTATCAAAATTCTAAATTCCCGCTCCGCAGAACCACACTCTTTGCTTTCAGGCAATATTCCTGGATTGCTTCGTCCTCTGACCAGCGCCACAAGATTCGGATGTAGTTTCGATCTTCGTCGAGAGCAGCATCGGCGAGTACCATTGAGGGAAACCGGAATCGCAGTAGGGTGTCGACCAAAGAACCAAAGTGGTCCTCGAACTATGCGTGATAATATTTGCACCATTGAGCAATGTCAAAATTTAAAAAAATCTCAAAAATTTTGTTTTTGAGTTTTTTTAATTTATTCAAAGGGGGGATGTTTCTCAGAGTCTTAAACTATGTTAATCATCGATCGAGTTTCCACTTGCTGCAATAACGGCCTCCACACGCTTCCGGAATGCACGGCAGGTTCTAATAATGTAGTCTGGATCAATTTCTCTTCAGGTACGGGTCAATGTTTGTCTGAGGCTTGCTGTACTCGGGCAGCGTTTAGAACAGGCCTTGGCCTTCATGACGCACCATATTGAGTAATCCAGCCGAATAAGATCGGGCTGGATGGCGGCCACATATCCTTCGCCCAGAACGGAAGATGTTCCTGCAACCACTTCTGAGTGCGGTTCGAGGTGTGACAGGTGAAATACAACATTTGGCTTCGGACCGTACTGTTCTTTGATCCACGGAAGAACATACTTACTTAAAATCCCGATGTAGACCTCCGTGTTGACCTTGTCGCCTTCTGGAATGAACACCGGGGCCATTTTTTGCCATCGGAAGCCACCAATCCAAACACCATAACGCTAGCAGGATGCTTGGTCAGATACACGATCTTGTGCTCGTCGGCCACGTCTTTTACCGGAAGAGGACTAATATACCGGTTGGTTCTGGAATTTAATACGGGATCATGTGAGTTTTTTTCCGTGCCCTCGACTTCGCCCCACAATCTTCCTTTACGATCTTCCGTGCCGTAAAGTCACTGATCCCGTGTTCCTTTGCCATTTTCCTTATTGAACGCACTGGATTCACCCGAATCTTCCTTTTGATAGCAGCGATAACCCTCGGAACCCGAGCTGACCTCGGACGACCTGTGGCCACCTTAGCGGATAGTTGTCCTTTCGTTTCTCGGTCTAAAACCCTTTTGACGGTCCACCGGGACACTCTCACGGCGATTGAAATGTCTTTTGCGACATTTGCCCGTGGGACAAATCACGAATACGCTGCCACTTCGTCATGGTGCAACTGTCAAACTAAGTAAATTATTTTCTTTTATACACAGCCTACTATGGTATGAGCTAATGGTTACGTGCATGCAAAGAATACCAAGGCATTGTATGCACAGGTGAAACGGGAACCTTATTTGTACGATGGTGCAAATATTATCACGCATACGGTATTTTCTACTTGGAATTTCTTTCCGTTCTTGAAACACAACTTCAATGAACCCTTTTTTCTATTAAATACAATATTCATTTATTTATTAAATTTATTCGTCTTTGCATCTAAATTCATCACCTTCCAACAGCACTTGGTAGCTGTCTTGGGTTTGTTTCCGTTTCGAATTTTAATGTTACAGAAATTTCCATGTGTCCAAACGATGAAAATAAAGTACAGTTTTTCCAACCTTCTTCTTTTCCGTAATAGTACAGTAATAATGATCACTTGTTTGCTCTCCTTCGCAAGACAAAAAAAAATACCTAGCTTACTAACAATTGAATTCCTTCTTCCTATTAGATAGACACTTTTTTTGTTTCGTTCCGACTAAAAACCTAGCGTTTGTTTTTTTGAGCAAAGTTACACCGAATGCTTATGATTTGTTTAACAAAAAATAAAAATGTAAAAGAAGCTTAAAGCGGGGAAATTTTCGTTTAAATCTATTTACAAAAGATTTCCAGACAGAGTTTGGTAGGAAATGGAAATTGGAGCGCTCTTGTTCCTCTTGTTCAACCTAGCTCCCTTACCTTAACATAGAGTGTTTTTTTATTTTAATGTAGAAGAAGTGAAGTTTAGATTTTTTACATTCTCTCTCTCAATCATGCACAAAGGGGAAAAAGTTTTGTTATCGGGATATTGTATTTACAGTTAAAATGAATTATTTGAGAGAAAAGGAGCAGATGTGACAGCTGCGTTTTAGAAAAAGAATGACAATGGGTCGAAGCCTAACCTAATGAAGAGGCACTAGAAAACAACAGAGATAAAGATAAAATTGAGCAATCGAGTTCGTTAGGAAGATAGACCTGACGCGTGACGTTGAGGTTAGTTTCGTCGAGGTCGGTAAAGTAGGTTTTTTTTAGAAAAAAAAAAGGTTTTTTGTTTTGAGAGAGGAAATGAGTGACGGAAACCAGTTTCCATGCATAGAATAATACACCTACAAGCTAACATAAGATCAAAACACAAGTATCCTTTTCCAGCCTTATAAAATTTGTCTCGTTTCAGTGTTATTTTGAATATACAGTTACACAACAACAGTTTTGAGCTAGTACACACACCCTCGTCTTTTGCTTGGCGGTCGCGGAGTCTTGGGATTCGGTTGCGAAGTCTGCCACTCCCTCCGAGTTGGAATGTGATTTTTTTTTTGTTTGGGTCGACGTCCCTTCTGGGGGGCTCTAACTACTGGGACTCAAGTCTTGTATTTACAACATTGCGAGTGCTTTCGTGTTTTGCTTTTCTTTTGATTTGGGGCAATGTGGAGGATGGTTAATGAACGAGGGGCGTAGGCCTCTCCCAAGACTCCGACTGCCTTAGATTAGGAAGAATAGTTTATGAGATAGAAATGGGTCTACTGAGAGGTTTTTTTTTCTAAATTGAGTTTGAGGTGTAGATTTTCGTTTTCTGTTAAGAACTACGTGATAATAAGGAAACCTAGATATGTGGGGGAGCTCGCATGAAGATGGGCACTCAGGGGATGGGTTGATGAGGAGGATCTGCAACCTTAGATGAGTGACGTAATCAGACGTGCTTTGAAGTTAACCACTCGTTCGCTGGTTTGTGCGATTCGCTGCAAGAGAAAGGGGGTTCAATATTTGTTGAATGTGTTCATCTACTAGGATCGCTACGGGGGTTGTGCAGTGGCCGAAATTGGCGATGGTGGAACTTACCAGAATCAAATCTTGAATCAGGTTGGACAGGCCACGGTTGGCGAGTACGAACAGACGGGTCACTGGTCCGGGAATGCCCTCGGTGTAACCATCGCCCTTGCCCAGCTCGTGGTCGTGGTCTTCGGGGGAGTTGGCCTTTTCGTCACCCTGCTCGGTACCGGAGCTACCCGAGACGAGCTGCAGGAAGATAGTCAATCATGATTTAGTGTGTACCATGGGCGGAGAAAAGAATGATCAAAGAACACATAGAACGTAGTGACAACAACAAAGAGAGAGAGAGAGGATACATTGTTAGGCAACAAAACATATTCAGTAGTGAGGTGTTAGTGTGTTGTTGATTTTAGGGGGGCGCTCGCTTCTCACGTCAGTTTTTCACGCTCTTTTCGGTTGATTCATTCGCGAGTCACGATTTTGTTTCGTTTGTTTGTTCGTTCCGCAGGTTGGGATCCGACCGGGAGCAATCATCGTCGAACAATCGTCTGTCATTTTGTCATCGTGGTGCGTTGGTCACACGACTTTGAGTGATCAAAGAGAGGGATGTTAGGAAAAGGAGAGTGAGAGAGAATGGAAGAAGCAAATTGAGAAATGAACTTAAAAGGAGAAAAAAATAGCGCAAATTGAAAAGTGCTTGGGCTCTACGGCAAAAACAAAAAAAAACCAAAGGAAGTGGGATCAAAGTCTAACAACAACAAAAGAAAAACGAAGGTATTGACACTCTGACAGAGGATTATTGGTGCGATGAATGTTAGGAAAGCTTGCGGTGTGATTTTAATTCAAAAGCCGCATTATTCATTGAAAAACAAAATCAAGAGCAAAAATAACGTGATGGAGCAAAATCAAGCACTTTTCAACCTGGGTTTGTTTATATAAGTGTAAGTACAAAATAGAACAAAAGAAAAATAAAGGAGAAAAATAGAAGAAAAGGAGAGAGAAGATGTTGAGAAACTAGTGTTACATTAGGTTTGTTAATACAATTTTGTTTAAAGATGTGTTACAATCTTGAATTTTTTAAAGTTAGTCCTAACGTTCGTTATTGACGAAAAGTAAAACATAAAATTATGACCTTACCCTAGCCAGTTTTTGGCTGAACATATATTTTCCCATTAATCCACGCAAATAAAATTTTGAAAATTTATACAGGGTGATACAGAATAACTGTCACCAATTTCACAAATCAAGACCAACAATTGAAATGGCCTTAACTCCATTTTGTAAACAAACCTTGTAAGGCCATTTCCTCGCGAACCGAAACCTTCATTCGCAAACCTAAACCACAATCGGGTAGAGAAGAATTTCGCCTACCTGTTCATTATGTTGGTTTGCCTTTGCGGACTTCGGTTCGCGAGAAAATGGCCTTACAAGGTTTCTTTACAAAATGGAGTTAAGGCCATTTCAATTGTTGGTCTTGAAATATACAATTCTCAGGATTGGAAATATGATTCGTTTCAGATTTCAAGCAGCCATGGACGTGAAAATGGAGCATATCATGTGAAAAATTCGTTCAATATCAAAGTTTAGACGAATCGCCAGGACTCCAAAAATGCTGGTACTAAAAGTGCGTTCCAGCTGTGGTCCATTGTCGCGACAAATGTGACTGGGAATTAAAGGTAAACGGAAATAGATTTGAATTTAAGTATATCTAGAATATGCTGATATCGAAACATCATTCAAGTGTTCAATCGTTATGACCATTTGTAAAAGTGACAGTTGTTCCGAATCACCCTGTATATTTATGCATCAAATTTGATTTAGGCCCTCGGGCCAAAAACTGGAGCACTGGTGCCCAAACTTGTATGCTTAGTCTGGTAAAATTCAAAACTCTTCTTTACTACTGTGTTACCTGACTTATAACGAATATACGTTCTATTCAAATACCCCGAATACAACGTTTGACTCGTCTAATTTTGCATAGCATTTGCAATGTAAAATTAGACGAACTATACATTGTATTTGGAGTACTCGTATAGAACGTATATTCGTTATAAGTCAGGTAACACAGTTGTTATCGAAGTATCCCAATGCAATCTGAAATCGACCCGCTTCCTCGGATCATTAGAGTCATCCAGTAACGAAATCATGTCGATGTTCGATAAGAATTTTTCGATGTGATTTTTATAACCTAAAATAGGTGTTTTGATGTACCATCCTGTGCACATTTTTGAGCCATCAAAATTCTTGAGATTTTAAATATTTCCAGCAACATATGCGAGCAAATAATGCATTGAGCGATGGAATGCCTTAGGATTAAAAATCAAACGAGCACTGAAATTTGGGCACCATTTGACTAAAATGGATTACATCATTCGAGCAGTTCAAGCCTGTAGTGACAACTATCTTGCCACCAAGAATCAATATTTTGTCTGTTCACTCGTAATATCTTTTCAACTTCTTTTTCAACGGGTAGAAACTTCTACCATTTGGCAATGTTCCGTTTTGTTTTTCTTGAGCCACAGCAAATACAAACAAGACTAAACTGTTGTTACTTCTTCCAGTGATGGCATAATCTTTAGCAAATTGATATTTTCCCACACTCATACGCTCTTGAAATCACGCCTGATAGTGGAGCAAAATTTAAAAACTCCTTTGCAAGACTACTCACAACGTGTAAAGTTGAAGCTGAGAGTTGAATCGACGCAAACATGATTCCGTTGCTCCTCATTTTCTTAGAACGAGAAGGCCTATAGTAATGCTATCTATTTTTTCTCTTCACCGATGGCAGACACGAAGCGACTGCTGCCAGCCGTTATGGATGATTCGGTTTGCGTTCGGGTGTAAAGCAAAAATCATGATACTCAATCGCACCACAGTTTGGTGAGATTTGCAGCTGGCGAGTTTTAATAGCTTGATATTCCGTAGTTGTTTGCTTGTTGATTTTTGTTTACGAAAATCAAGCATGATGTTGTTCTTTTGTGAGATATGATTTTTAGATATTTTTCCAACACTGCTTTTTTCATACTTAATGTATTGTAATAAAATTTGAGCCAAATAGAAGCTCTTTGTTTTTGCTTCATTGTTTTTCAAAATATAGCTGTTTTAGAAAAGGTTCTTAAATAAGAAGAGATTTACTAAAATTGCTCAAGCTGCCAACCTAATCAATCAAGTCCAAAATTGTACAGATAATCCTTGTAAATTTGTTCAGTCAGTAGTCTAAATTTGAGGAATTTTGATATACGCTCAGAAAAAAATACATCTCTTTGAACTTTTTTGAAGAAAATCCGCACTCTTAACCAATTATTTTCAAACAATTTTATATTTGATTTAAATTAAATTTGTTTTTGATCATCACACCTTTATCTTTCATTGTAGTACGAGTTGATTGCATATTTGGTTCGCTCGGCCTTATAAAGGGTTAAAGGACGTTTCCTACCACTCGAAGTCTTTCGTGGAGCAATATTATGAAATCATTTTTTTCTAGAACCTCGCGAAAATAGGTTTTTATTTATGACTAGTTGAACACCCCCAGCATTGCTCGTGTGAACTCTTTTATCACTAGTCACTCACTCACATATTCCATCTAAAGAGTCTGAATTTATAAAGAGGCGACATCTTATCCATTTGACAGGTCTTCTGCTCGATTGGAATGACTTTTCCCATTACTTTGACAGATAATCGATTGTTCCAATTTTCTCAACACCCATATGACACTTGAACTGTCAAAATCTGAGCCAATCAAACATTCCTATTAGATTTTTTTTCGTGAATTTATGATTCTTATTACATTACATTTGAGAGTATTGCAATCGAACAGAAATTAAATCACATTTATGTTTCGTGTGCTTCTCAAATGCAACTAGTTTTTGGAATCAAAAACAATATTCTAACTCTATTGATTAATTGATCTTAGTTGGTTAATTAATGGCATATTGCGATGCACTCAATGGACCACTTTGTCAAGCAGTTTTGGCGTGACTTTCTACCAGCGATTTCACAAAACTGGACCAGCTAATTTCTATTTTTTATGAAACGCACAAATGTTGGTTACTTTTTTCGAGGTTCTAGAAGAAAAAAATCTCCAAATAATGTTTTATTTCAAAGTTCGAGTGGTAGTAAACGTCATGTTAACTGCTCGAAGGAAGTGGTTAATTATTATTTTGCTCGTAAATCGAATCAAAAGTAAAAGTCATGTGAAATGCTAGCTCTAGCAAGGGTTTCAAGACAATTTAGATACAAATCCCTGCTGCTGAATTGTATTTTATTTTCTCCGCTCATCTCTCCCTTTGAGTATTTCTAGTGGAAACATAGTCATTGCTATCAGACGTGGAACGAACATTGGCAAAGCATGGAAACCGAAGATTGTCTATTTCTTGGTGGAGGAAGTTTCCTCTACCAATATATGATGTTTGTATCCATGATGGCTGCTCGTGGCTACTCAATAAGTCCACGAGACAGTTACGGTCAGCTGACTTTTTTGTTTACCAAGAACTTTTGACAGTTCACAGTAGAACTGGCAGTTTATTCTCATATGAATTTCTGCTTTGTTTATGTTTACATTCAGCACTATTAACACCAGATCACTCATACACTCTAGATTTCTAGCTGTCAGTCTCACTGAGAAACGTCTCTTGGAGGTGCCCTTGTGCATGATCACTGTCGAAATTTTCTAGAGATAGGCCAAGCAAATCTTAAATGAGGGGGTTAGAAGAAAAGGGGTGTAACTGATTTTGATCGATTCTCTTTCGTTAATAATTCAGCTGCAAACACATTCCTTGATTCGTGTGCTATTCTGGATGCTAGATGAGAACTTCCTTCATCAAACTATGTGGCAGAAATAGCGCAAAATCTGTTTATAAAGCTGTGGCTATCGAAAGAGAAAGTCGATGAAGAGAATCGATCAAAGTCACATACACCCCTTTTCTTCGAACCCCCTCAAATGTATGGCCTGATTTTCTGAAAATCTCTCGATTAAATGTTAAATTATCATTACGATAAACTGAACTCTGTCTGTTTACACTTAAACCGAAGACAACATACCAAGAAGACTGGCAACTCTGCCTGACCAGTATGAAACAGGCACAATAGCGTTATCTGACGCTCAAAGGTAAATGCTCCGAACGAATTGGCTAGCAAAGGTTCTATCATAGAGGTAACTCTAAGACCAGAAGGTCCCGAAGAAACGAGCTCAACTTTTTTACTCAGATCTGGTACTATCTTCGGTCTCAAGCTAATCGATTCAACCC